AGTTGCAAAGCGAATTATAGGTTACAAAGATTTTGAAAGATAAAGAAGTCATTTGGGGAGGCCTTTGTCTAGCAGTCGTCGTTATTTAATTTTGGCTGAAACAAATAGAAGTCATTTTGATGATGACTGTAGACACTATTTTTTTGTTTCATTTGATAGAATCAAAGTCGGAAGTAGGTACTTAGTTCTACAACACTACACAGGTAGAGTTATATAGGTCCAATATTTTATCAAATTACCCTACTTTTAGTTAATAGGATTAACAGCGATAATTACACTTTAATAGTTGATGACTATCAGGAAAATGGAAAGCCAAGTGTGTAAATATTAACACTTTATTTGCTCTACATATTTCATAGTTTCCTTCCTAAACTGTCGCTTCAAATTGTATGTTTAATCATACTTTGTAATATTTCAGCCGCTTTTACTATGTACCTATTCTAAACTTTTTCAGTAGGTAACTATAACACCACGTGTCAAAGTACCTAACTACTGCACAGCTACGGCCTCTACGCCTAAGCTTCGAACTTCACAATCGCCGCCAACTTTCTTGACGAAACTTTCTAATTGATGTGAGTTAGTTAGTGAAATGACAACCTATCATCGTTACAGCACCAGTTGCGAGGTAAACAATGGTTATGGAATTACGTAATATGTATTATGGTGAGGTGTAAATTATACCTTTTGCAGAACATGTTATGGATATCTCAATACCACAGCTAATAAATACCTATTGTTAGTTGGACGATGGATTAGTTGGACGCAAGTTTCCGTGTCTGAGTGAGCCATTGTAACAATGCTTAAACCATGGTAATTCATGCAACATGGATATTAGAGTACGTTTGTAGTTTTTTATACACTGATTCAAAGGCTAACGTACACTTTGCATGAGTCATTGTCACGGTCGGACCGTATGCGTAGACTTACCTAGCCCTAAAATATGAAAAAATAAAAGTTGATCTTCTTTTATTTTTTCATATTTTATTTTATTAGTCTGCCTACTAGTACACTCTTTACAGTTAGATACTGGTTGCACAAAATTTTTAACAGCGAACCCATTATGCAAGGTCTCATCTGGGCTGGAAAAACTCCGAGGGAATCAAACTCCTATACCTCCGACGTGAGAGAGCCCTACTCTAGATCACTGGACTTCATAGGCAAGCCAAATAATATTATGTAGGTACCTAACCATTACACAGTTTAAACTAAGAGAGTAAGCACAAGTCAAACGTTAAATGTACGAGTAGAACTAAATATTTTAAATATTATTCGAGATCAAATAAATACTTTTAACTTTGCAAGAACGCAAAATCACAATGGATAAAGTGACACTACTGTAACTATGAACGAATCCGACTAGGTACCTAACGATAGGTTGATGATACGGACATACTCGTACTTATACTAAGTAGGTATACAAATAGCTGGATAAGGGCAGTCCCAGAGGGTTTGGGGAGCTTACGCAACTTTCACCTTTCCCTCCCAATGGAGAGGGCCACTCTCTATAACTATTCGTACCCTCTTGTATTTGTACTATAGGTATGTGCAGGCTATGGATTTCAAGTTACACGTAGAAAGATTTATGTTGAATATATTTAAATACATTTAAATGGCATTAAAATTTTATGTGAATTTAAAGACAACTATTAAACTAAAGATTTTAATTACTAGACACCGGATAGTGCACTAAAGTATGTACCAACGTTTGCATAAGAAGGCCTTATTCAGCTTTATTTTCTAAAATCGAGTGATTTTATAATTTTGTACTTTTTGGTTCAAAAAGTATTTTAAGCTACCAAAAGTCTTGTCCCCTTTTTCAGAAGAAATATCCAGTTGAACGGGTTTTTTTCAGTAGGCTCCACCATTCCAGAACGGCATCTTCTTTCTTTTTCTTAAAATTTGGCAATGCTTCTTTTTACCAGCCATTATTCAGCTTCACTAGGTACACTAGCTCCAAAGTGGCATTCTTTCGCGTAGCTCTACAAATGCTGTTTGAATTTTGTAAGAATGTTGCGCAATGGAAAATGTATTGATTTATTACGAGGATTGTTCCTTTGATCACTGGTGAAAGTGTGAAATATACCTGTGCGGTGGAAAGGTTACTTCTAAATAATTACCAGCGTTGGGTAAGCGCAGCCCTCTAATGCAGGACGTATTTAACTATGATCGTAAAAGTAATATAGGGAGAAGTACTATTGAAACTTCCTGCACTCATTAATTAGTAGCAACACTAATTGAACTTAATAGCTTTTCTATGACACAATTTTCATTCAGATACAGTCAATCTGAGTAACTTTGGCCATCATAAGCTCAAAATATAATTGCAAAAGGTAGTTTTTTCACTTTCATTTTATTTATTTCAAATAAGCGTCGTATCTTTGACCGTTCTTCACAAAGCTTGTTTGAAATATAAAAAAATCAAAGCGAAAATGTAATAAATTCGCAATTGTATTTGAGCCAAATGCCATACTGATAAGCAAAATACCCAGATTGACTGTACTTAATGAGGAGAAGAAGGATTAAAGTCCAATATGAAAAGTTGTATAATATACATTTGAATATAATAGCTATCAAAATATTTCGTATAATATCAACATAAGCTCGTGGGCCACACGCGCTCCGCTATGCGCTGCCCGCGGCGCCGCTCGCTTCAATGCTCATTGTGCCTTTATTCACCATCGCCTTTCAATTGCCCGGACGAGCCAATCGGCGATTGTATTAAAAACAAATACATTTCCACACAATCGTGGTTAGATCAGATAGTACGTGAGCCTGATACAATTAGGGCTCGTCTACACTCAATAGGCAATAGGCGCAGCAATAGAACAGAAGCATTTTGTTGGGGAATTATTAGAGATTAATATTTTGACCTTTCAGTAAATAATTAAGAAACTTAGTAGGAACTTAATTTATTAATTTTATAGACAAAGACTTACAGAACAACAAATAAATCAATCAAGTTATAACCGGAAGTTGCCATGAAAATAGTTTTTTTTCATTTTCAAATAGGTAAAGATAACCCATTTGAAAGCACCAAAAATGGACTAAGTCAACAACGTTTAACGGGTCTTTTTGTTCATTAAACGTTTGTTTAGTAATAAATAAAGCTAAGTACTCGTATTTTATTAAAACTTTATTAAAAGGAAGTCTGTATAATAGTAGCTTTAAAATTTTGATTTGACTAAAAAAATATGCTTATAAAATTATGCGTGAATTGCTTACAATTCATTATTTTTTTCTCGACCAGAATGAAAATGTGTTGTGTGCAGTTCTTACAATATTATTAATTAATATGATAATTTATATTAATGTTAATAAGCATTATAAAGTTATTAATATGATAACAGGTAACTCAGTAGTTTGTAGTGGTAAATCCTTCCATCCACTTGACGATAAAATAATCATTTATTTAATAGGTTCGCAATGAAGTCTAAATAATTAATATTAATTACTGGCCGGTGCAAAGGTCGTATATTTTACTTGTAAAATTAATTCCACCGAGTTGTAAAGCCTTACGACAGCAGACAGCTTGACACTTCAGATGGCTACAAATAAGTTAATTACATTTTAATTACGGGTAATTGTCATCGCTATTATGGGCGGCGTTAAAACAATTTTAGTAAAGTATGCAACAAATAATAGTGTTTGAGTGACGCAAGTCTGCGGTCTGACACTTGTGAAGCAGATTTCTTTATTTCAACAAGTAAGGCTGGGGCTACAGGGAGCGTTGTAGCGTTAACATCTCTACATATAGAAATATACGGTTGTATTTTATATATTTTTATTTAAGCCTTTTTTACATTTTAGGCCTTTTTTACATTTTAGTGCTCTAAGAAACCTCGAAGTCAGTCTGAATGTTTCAGCATTGTTTTAGTAAAATATTTTTGAGTGGATTTTCTACAAATAATTTTAAGTACCTACTAAAATATTCAGGTAGGTACTTCATAGGTATTTTGAAAACTCTTTGGTAATCATAAAATAAGTATTTTTGAGTTTTGCTTAGTTAACATTAGACAGCTCTTTTGCCATTATTTGGGTGTTATTCGAGCTGGCTTATTTTTTTGCATGTCAAGGTTACCCTGGTCAATAAACCGCCACAAGAAGAATACAGATTTTTAAATTAAAATAAATGTTTAAATACAGCACAAAAGAAGAATAAACCTCTTCACTTAATAAGGATTTTTAACTGACTTTTTTAACCAACCACCACATTTTTGGAGTAGAAAGAAAATTACTTGTTTTGGCCATTTCATTTGCTTATGTGTGACATAGCCAGTAAATACATTTTAATGCAATGTTTATAAGAAAATACTACGATTAAAAAGGTTTTCTTAGTCGTGGTGGTCACGTGGAGTTGCGCACGCGCTCCGAGCCGCGTGTCGAATGCATTACACCGCCTCTCAGCGCTCGCACAATGCCCATTTGCCCATTTCACAGTGTCCATCGAATCGACGACGAATCGAATAAATTACCGATTTTGTCATTCCATATTCGTTCCGATATAATTTCCTGTATTCGTGCTGGAAAATCGCGGGCATTGTTCGAAGTACAGGCCTCGATACGCTGAGAATTTTCTTGGTAAATTAGTGCTTGCACAATTGTTTTATGCCTTATCGGTACTTAATATCGTTGTGGTGATTTGCAGGTTTAGTTTTTGATTTTTAATATTTGGTAGAAAATTGCTACGGTTTTTTAGGTTGCACTTTGTGTAATTAATTTTTTAAGAACAGACAATGATATTGACATTTCTACCAGTTAGAAAAAGAACAGTAAATTGCTATCTAATGAAAGATGATGAAAATATAAAATAAGAAATAAAAGTACACTAAATAGAGCAATAAACATACAAAAAATAATTATTAATCATATACATATTACAAATCTAGTTTAATGAACTCTACATACTATACAAAAATATAAGAAACGTAACGTTAGTATTAAATAATTATTACCAAGGTTACAAATATATAAATATACATAATAACAAAAGCAGTACTTACTAATATCTTCATGTCCTTGTGATCCGCGGACACGGGGTCGATACTAACCTAAAACAAAGAAAATATAATTAAGAAGTACTTCAGTGAATCTTAAACTTCAATTATAACAAACTACGATAAAATGTAACTAAATTAAGTCAGCCATTTTTGGAACAATTCCTAAAGTTAGCTACGTAGCTAAAGATTTCCCAAAAAACAGAACCTTCATGATGACGTCACAAAAAGAGTTCACATGAGCCAGAACAGCCCATCTATCCCTTGACTATGACTTTCGGCGTCCACAAGGACGAAGCGAAATTAACGCCGGCCTTGGTAACTCTCCCACCGCTCGAAAAAACAAAAACTAATTAGAAAGTCCCTAAAAAGTTAATATCATATCGGGTCTGTACACACGAGCGAATTTAATTTGGAACGTTTTTAATTACAGCCGAGATCCAAGCCGGTCGGTTTCGGCGCCGCGCGGCTGCCAGCCCTGTTATTATGGGCCCCGTAATTGCGGGACCCACAGAGTGCACCTCGCCCCCTGCCCCCGCTAGTATCCTATGGCAGTGCCACCAAAATTAGAACATGACTTTTGAGGTTTTTATGAATGATCTATTGGGTTAAAAGGTTTTTTTGTTGAATCAAATGCGTCTGAGATAAAGTTGATGATAGAATCTGGTGATCTTGCAAACATATTATAAGGAAACATCTTCGCCACTTTACCTATTACTTCCTTTATACAATTGCCCATATTTGGTTGCAAGTTTCAGTCATTTAGCAGTTATAAAGACAGTTGAATATCTATTTCAGTAGATTTACAGGTTGCTTTATTTCTCTTGCTGCTGACTGTACTGTCAAAATGTAGCCAAGTCCACCACGGAAGAAACTCTGTGATACACACATAGTAGTCAATACTATGGTAACATCAGCTAGTGATAATTGTCTCTATATTGAAAAAAATACCTCTTTCTTTTTCTATAAATCTATGAAAATAGTGCTATCAAGAGTGAGAGAGTGAGTTGTAACCAATTGCAAATCACAAATCGAAAGTCACCAAAATGAGCAGCTTGCACGTGTTTGTTATTTATTCCACTGGAATTACGTACACATATGCAACATCTATGACAGTACAATAATGTTAATAGCAAGTCTAATGTACCATAATTGCCCTTTCGTAATGCACTCGAGCTTTCTAACAGAGGCCAAAAGGATTGCGTTTAATTATGATGACTGGCTTATTGGGAATCGAAAATATGTTTCAAGACTGCATTATCATAATTATATATTCCGTCTGTGGTTAAATAACATCACTACTGGGGCAGATGCACTGTAATATCAACACCTTTATATCAAACCAAACATCTAATAACTATTTTCGGAAGAAATTAGATAGTTTTCATGATCCTCACTGATGTTTTATTGTTGTTTAATGCTGTTTTAAAATAATTTGTAACTTCACAACCATGAAAAATACTTACTTATAGCAAGACTTTTATTTTAGAGTGATTTTTTTATCACCAACGGAGAAACTCTTGTTTGTAAAAATTCAAATTCAAATTGTTTATTACATGTCACATTACTAATAGTGGTGTTATAATAGGGATTCATGTACACCACATGTGACGCCCTGCAAATGCACAGTAAAACATCAGGTAGAGGTTTAAAAATAATAATGTAAACACAAAGGCAGACATACATTAAGCCTACTACATATTATACTGCAGAATACCATGTTATATTCACATAATAATATGTATGAATTCCAATAAGTAATTAAAATGAATCGCACTATATCGTGTCAAATGGGAGACACAAATCGGCAAAGCTCCTAATTATTTAATAATCATATGTAGAGTCATCGACACGTCAATCTAAATACTATGGCCTCTTCTGTGATGGTAATAGGTACTATTTTTCGACAGAAAAGTCTAACTTAATGTGTTGTCAACAATACATGCCGACTTGCAACAATGTCGGCACTCCGAGCGGAAACGTATAGTACAGTCTGTACAGATGGCATAAAGATAAACGAAATACGACTGTTGCTGTCATTATTTAAGTGATTACGGCATATTACTGTCTCATCTTTAGATTTGTAGGTACAATGCGATTTGGTTATACAACGAAAGGCTGAGTCAACCACAGCGTTGGCTGCGCCGAGCCACATAATCAGTTATTACACAAAATTGGGTCACAAGTTTCAGGTTTTAACTGCATTGCAATCAGAAGCAGTTTTTATTTATTGTGATAAAGGTTTTCCGCCAAAGATGAAATAAAGCTCGGTTAAACTTTTTTATTTTACTGAAGATTTGTGTACACCAAATTATAAATTGTTGCCAAAGTTTTCAGGAAAAATGTTTCGTAATTATATAACGTAACGTCTAGTTTTATGCATTCAGTAACGGATTTTAGACTGTGTAATCTAAAATTAATAAAACTTCATCGACTTTTACTGCATACCTATAGGTGTATTTTACACATAATTTATTATTTTAAGAAAGTAGAGTTTGACAGTTATTGATATGAACGATGAAAGAGAAAGTTGGTGAAATTCAGTTTTATAAACTTGCTTTCTACATGTAAGTAAATAAAAATGAAATTATTGAATTTATAATACTTACATCCGTTTTAATTAACACTAAATCATATTAGTAAAAAGTTAATTGAATGGCAAAATTATCTTCATCAATGTAAATAATTAGAAAAAATATTCACCAAAAGCTATAAACTATAAAAATCTTATAAAACGATAACGCGTTATAGTTCCATAACCATTGCAGTCGTAGAAAGAACCGTTCTCAAAAGAAGAAACGCCGCGTCACACGGTCCATTGTGAGCCGGCGGGAGGTGTTTGTTCGCCGTAATCGCACAACTAATCACACCAATTAAATATTTTAGTTCTCATTCAGCAATTTTTTCTTATTCGACCTTTGTTAGCGCACACCTCGACGCCTTTGTTGGCTCATTTTCGAGACCGCCTTTTGTTTGCCGCGCGTTCGACGCAACGCGATATGTCCTATTACGTTTTTCGGAAGTTGCCAGAAATGTATAACGTTTTTTTATACATTATTAGCATTATTTTATATTGTTTATGCTATTTACCTTCTGGGAAAGCAAGCGTACAATTATTATTGTGGTTTTTATGGTATGAGAACATAAAATTACTTATTGAAATAAAGGGAAAATTAATTAAAGATGTAGTGAAAATAATAGACATCCTGCAATTCAATTCGATTTTAAAATGAAAATGAACAAGACAGAGAGCTATTGCCATTTCGCTTGTAATATAGATTTCAGAATATAATATTAAATGTCGGTATATATTATTGTATAACATTTGCACACCGGTACAATCCCCGGTAGAACATAATTGGAACTGACTCAGATACTGTATACCTGTATTATCATGACATTTTGTTCTGCAAATAAACTTATTTGATTTGATTTGATTTGATATAAAAACCAGTGGATTTTGCACCTATGTATTATTATAAATAGATTTATTTATTTTCAGACCGCTGTAATAATAATAATTTAGATGACTCTACGGAAGCCAACTTCCTACTACGAGTACTATTATTTTCTTATTGGAATTACATCCCAAGATTCACTTCATCATCATTTATATTTAGATACTACACCTTTTTTAAACTACACCTTGTAACTAGTTTTTCGTCGTCGCGTCGTTGTGATAGATCTAATAGTAATAACGAAACGTATTTCCTCTTTTTCATATTAAAAATTGGGCTGTGCACAGAATTATTTCGAAGTCATTATACAAATTTAGGTGCCATAAATGAAAAACAACAAAAATTTTATACAAAATTAAAGCTCTTCTTTACTTTTATTGCCTTCCGAAATTTCTAAAAATCTTTTTCGGTGCATGTTTACGTTTCCAAATAAGAACGGCAATAAAATAGAGCACTAAAAACGCACGAAAAGTAATTGAAATATGCCCAAAAATTCGTTTCATTACTTAAATGTAATAAAAAACACATAAGTGTTTCATTATAAATTATTGTGTTGACGGCAAATAATAAAATTGTTAGTGTTTTTTTTGTTTCTCGTTTGTTTCAAAAAAAGTTATTCATCTTACAAAAATAATGCACAACGAATTAAAATGTGGATGTAAATATTTTACCAAATCAAATTAGCAAGTCTCTATCTAGAGTTCAATATCGTGAAAATAGTGAAAAATAGTTTATTATAATTTAAATTCAAAATAAAAGTTACAAAATACCTCGTTGAAGTAGGAATTGTTATTAGCATTGTGCGGCGCGGGGTGCGAGCCCCCGTGCTGTTGGTAATACGCGCAGTTCATGTCAGCCCATGCATCCACAACACTGCAATGTCACAAACAAATCACTCGCGAGAAAAATCCAAGAAAATACCCCGGAGCAATTATCTCGTAACGAATCGATGCGGCGAACGAATCTCGGCTACTAATTGTAGGGTTTGAGGCTCGGCGAGCGCGCACCGAGTGCCTTCCCTCTCGCACGCGCGTCTCGCTCGCTCACCGCGTGGCGGCGCCACCGTCGTATTTGTTTACGCGGGGCGGCGCATGGCGCTGGGCGGACTAAGGGCGGGAACTTACGCCGCACGCAAAACTAATATAAAACCGATAACGCACTTTTTACAACCACAATCAAAGCTTTGAACTTTGATAAGGAAGATGCTTGTAATTAGTATTAATGTGCAATTATTTGGTTTATTGAATTTTATGCGTTGCTCACACATTTTTTCTTTACGTTTTTAGACCGTGCTTAACAAGCTGTGAATATGAAACATCACATTAGTATTAGTATGTAATCTGATAAAAAGATCATTCAAGATGTTGAACGTAAACTCTACAAGTAATATCTGTGGCAAAAAATAGAGTGCACTTTTTACGCGACACTCTCTAATAACATATCGATGAACGTTGTTTTTAAATTAGGTGCGCACTCAGTTATATCATCTAAATTGGACCTATCAAAGAGGAACAAATGAGAATCAAAAGATGTTCAGATATTCTTCCTAATTCAAAACATTGAATCTTTGTTACAAAATTAAATAGGTATTTTTTGTGCCACGAAAGTTATAAATGTTTCCGGTGCGTAATAAAGAACATCACGTCGCTACCCGGCTCTATTATAAAAATTGGTCCATTTTTTCGGTCCAATCTGTGCGAGGGCGGATACGGATCATGTGACAGGATACACTCTGATATCATGCGAAATTTGATCACGTGATACTGTAACAGATGGTAGTTTAGTTCCTTTCGATAAATGATATTTATTTATTGTGCGTTTATGCAGAAGTACAAAGCAATAGGCAAATATTATATAAAAAGTTTGAGTGACTCCTACCACGGAATATCTCCTCTTTGTACAAAATTTTATACAGAAAAAAATTAGTGAGAGTTGGAACTTAACCTCATTGCTTCGAATTTATCTTGAAATATACATAATTTGGTAATGTAAATTTATTTCTTAAGGACGAGAAATCAAAAAGACTGTTTGACGCAAGTAAATGAAAATCATTAATGTCTAAAAGTACCTACAGTCAGTATAGTTACGAATGACTATTATTTTTCATTTTCTTACTATTTCCTACTATACCGGTTTATTCTTGGTTTTTGTTGGTTTACTATTAACATACTAAGGTCAACAAGGAGTTGTCCTATTATTCACATCCGTTTATTGTATGTTTATTAGGTACAGGACGAATTTATAGTTACTTATGTAACATGCACAATACACATACATCGCGACTAGATTTTATACTTACTTTGAAATAACTTTGAGCTTACTCGTGGTTTACTTATTGTCAGTTTCGGAATCAAATCCTTGATGTGATTATTGATAAAGTATGAAAAATATCATGAAAATTAAATAAATTGTACCTAAATGTGTGAACCCTAAAGAAAATAACATAGAGACCTCCAAAAGCTTAATGAATGGCAAAGTTGAAAGGTCCAATGCCATTATATTTCGGCACATTTCGCCAGCGGCGTTATTTAACAACTGCACGACAAAGCGTGTAGATGTCGCCTGCGATAGGCGTGCGTTTTGTATTGAATATAGAATAACACGCGCAAATGATAGTGATTAGTGCCGAGTACAGTGGGCGCGGCGCGTGCGCGTGGCGCGTAATCATTGTAATCTCGCGCGCCTGCGCGTTCCCTGCTTACTGCTTTCCTATTGTTGCTGTTAACATGGCCGCACTTTGTCTTACATTCATTTAGCCCCCATCATTTTAGACCTTCGATTTAGGTCAGTTGTACGCGTAAGATCTAGACTGAAATGCTATGACGGCGAAGTCAGCCAGCGTGAAACTTCACAATCAATTTGTAGACCACCGAAAGACAACTTTTGAATTCCAAACAAAACATACGCATTTGAATACACTCTTTCAAAGGTACGTTTAAAGGTAAGAGTGCGATAAAATATTATGTAGGTAGAGAATCTATGTTTAACATGAACCTATCAAAATAATATTAAACCAAGCTTCTCTACTCAAATCCTCATCTCACAATACAGCACAACTGTACACCATATTCATTTAAAACTAAACGATCCATGTTCCATCTCATTAACATGTAGTACTCGCGTGTCAAAGGTTATTTTTTCCAATCATTAGTTTTTGATTGTGTGCGCTCGCGCATCTGGCCCGGCCCGCCCTCGCGCCGCCCAGTGCCGCCCTAGCTCGCCCAACACGCGCCGTATCGAATGGCCGTTGCAAAACGAATGAAACATTTCTTTGTACCACCGGATTCATTGTAATCGAAGTTATGAGTGAGGCACAATCGAATAAAAACGTTTTCTCTTTTGTCTCTGTCGATGTGTTTTATGGGCGTAATTATTTATTGTGCACATTGTAAATCATTTTTGTTTTCTATTTGGGAATTAATTTAATTGAAAGCTTAGCAGTGCATTTTGAAAAAATATTGTTGTGTTACTTACTTTTAACCAAATTCGGATTTCAAAGTAAAGTTACGTCATATTTTATTTTATTGAGTTTTGAACCGCATCATATTTTTATAATACGTTTATTTTTAGAACGTTTTGAAACTCATGAAATTCATTTTTTCTTGTAAGTAGACTTTTAAAAACGCATTTACATCCCAGTATTGCTTTAACCCTACCACTGCTTCAGGACAATAAAAGGGCCAGTGGTGAGAAGTCGCGCAAGAAACAGTTTTATTCAGGACTTTACCTACCAAGTAACAATCTCCATTTGTGACAGCTACAAGTCGTCCCCTAATTTGAATCCGTTATGCGCACATTGCATACTCGTAGTGACAAATAGGTCCCCACGCTGTCGAGCGAGCATGTTCTGCGCAGAAGGGGTGCACGGATCCGGTTGCAATCTTACACCAACTTCCGCTGGTACCGTTGTTAGGACTATACTATTGTGCAACAAATGCAGCACAAAATACTTCAGATATTAAACTTTTGTGTAGAGAAATTGATGCAATTTTAAACTTTTATCAAATACTCGTTCAATGCCAGTAGTTTTAACAATAAATAGTATTTTAAAATCAATCAAATTTAGTATTTTGGTTATCAATTAAGCTAGAAGTTATGGTTTTACAACTAAAATGTAGAGCTTTATTTGCTTTGATTTTGTGATATTAATATAATCTTTTACTGTTAACGTTGATAGATATTACCTACATTTCGAACTTAGCTCACAAAGCATTTACTACACAAAAGCTCTCTAAGCGATTATCTACCGATCCATTCATACTTCAAATGCAAAATTCGATTTCATCGGACCAGAGATAATCCTGCGATTACACCGACCCAAAATATTGTCCAAGTTTCATTCACAACATGTGTGACTCTATTCGCATGGGCCATTGTCGACTACCCGCGCCATTCATGGCTTCAATGGCAGGACATTTGACGACCGTTTCCTATGCAAAATCTCGCGTAATCCCGGAATAAAGGCCTTCGAATGTTTCCGCTGACATTTCGCAGCGAGGGCCTGGGAAGCGCAAGTGTCGCTGTACAATAGAACGCTGAGATGTTCACTTAATGCGGTATTTAGATGTCACTGTTTACAAGCATAATAGGATTAAATATGAACAGCGAATTGTAATCTGAAGTGTTGTGTTATGAGCTCTTTAGATATGATGCAGACGAGATAAGAAATGGTTGTAAAATGACAGCGATGAACTTTAAGCTTGCCCTTTGAAATCGGATTACCTAACAAAAATTGTGTAAAGAAATTGAATAACGTAATCCTTAGTGAGTTTCAGTGTACTAACTGGATTGTATTGAAAATTAAAACTTATTATTTTCGCTGAAATATTACTTAGGTGCATAAACATCGTTCATTTTGTACCATAATGCGATTTAACTTGTATTTTTATTACATTTCCATATACCGTGCGCCCATCACCTCGCCGAGTGCGAAGCGCGAGCCGCCTCGCCTCATGACAGCCGCGACGTGCCAAACAACAAAATAAACCGTCCAACCCGGGTAATAATGGTGTTTCCACCCTGTAACAATAACTACATAATAGTCAAGAGCTTTTACGAGCTTTTGTGAGCATGTCGAAGCTTCTACTTGGCGTTTTTTCTGATGGATGCCGAACGCTGCGCGTACATGGTTTACGGCTACGGATATTTTATTGAATACTTACTCTGCTTAAAGATTAAGTATTGAGTTGGGAAGTGCCTTTAGAAGGCTTACTGTCAGCGAAGATTTGTTGGTTGAATAACATATCGTTTTTCTCTCGACCTTCCCGCAAATCACATTACTTGTCTAATAATAAATACGACAATACGTCCAAGTTCTAAATCTTTGTTTCTGAGGCAGAATTCTCAAGAATAATCTCGTAGTCGAAGGCTCTCAGTTATTTGCTTTATAAAGGCTATAATGCTACCCGTATCGGGAGATATATTAATTGTGCGCCATTAGTATGAAAGCTCTTGCAGTCTGAGTGTGCTTTCGTCATTCATGTTGCATTAAACGGTATGATAGGTTAGTTTCCTTGTAAGACTTTTCGCTTACCCATAACATTGCCAGCCAAAGACATTCGCCATATAAGTACGCATCAGCCAAGCAATGAAGATTAGGTACCCAAGACTTTAAGATTAATTTTCCAATTATATGAAGCGATAACCACAACCATTAAGGCAATAATAACAGCTGTCCAGGGGAAATTAATTGAACATTTATGTCTATTCGATAAGCTTAACACGTGGACCGTGGGCACCATATTATGGTTCCAATCCAAGCAAAAAGGCGTTTAAAGTAATTTACGCACCTACTTAAAGCAACTTTGTAAGTTAATTTCGTACTATAGCTTTTGAAATAAGATGAAAATGATTGCAATCCCCAAACAGCTAGGTATTAAAATTGATGTTTCATTTGCAAGAAATACTTACATTTGACTACGGACATTTAAATAATAAGGCGGACACTGGGCGGAGTCTTGGTATCATACGACATAATAT